GCACCCAGAGAACATGAAATATATCAAAACCCACTCCCATAGTGCAGACTTGCTTCCCATTTAGAAAACTGGACAAGAAGCAGAGCTAAATGAGCCATCTCTTTTTGTGCAAGCCATTACCAGCTAAATGATTCAAAAAAAAAAAAAAAATCCAGAGCAGCCCCTGTTGAGCTCACATAATAATGAAAAGCAGGCTGGTTGAAGTGTTGGTGGTTATACAGGGCCTGGTGCAGAAATCTTGATCAAAGCCTCTTGGCATCTGAAGTCATCAGTAATTCGACAGCCTATTTGGGTGAAAAGAGCTCTTTTCTGGCTGTCCCACTTCAGGCCCACCCCAGAGAGGGGCACGACTCAAGCAAACAAGGTCGCTGGCAAATCAAGACACCTCTTCTCAGGACGTGATACAAAACACGAGTCAGGCCACAGCCAGACGACGCGATCAGGTTTCACTGGGGGAGCCTGTGTGTACATTACGCATGCTATTTGCATGTATGTCATCTGTTCTGGCCAAGCTGGAGCATCCTTCACAGAGCCCTGAGCGGTGGCCTTTGACCCAGATGAAACGGCAAAGCTGCTCCCACAGGGAGCCATTGCCCATTCCAGGAAAAGGGAGGTGACTGTTTAAGCAATGGGAGAGTGATGCCAAGGGTCAGTCTGGCTAATGATGATTTCATAAAATCTTTCCTGATATGCACTTGTGTCAAGCCTTGGCTGGTTCTTAGGGCCATGGAGGTGAATAATCTCAACCTCTGCCCTTTAAGAGTTCATAATCTAGTTGAAAAGATAGAATATCAAAGTACAATTACAATTCAGTGTAGTAAATAGTGTGAACGGGAAGATCAAGGGCTATGAAAACTCTGGGAGGGCCCTGACTCCGTGCTGGGAAGATAGAGAGAACCGCCCAGAAGTGACGATATCCAAGCAGAAACAGGTTTGGGAAGGCAAACTGGGGGAAAATGAAGCACATATTCTTCCTGAACATGGTCTCCAAAATGGTCATTTTCATAATGTTTCAAGGTAGTACTTATTGACAAAATTATTATTGACTATAACAACAAGGTATTAGCAGGAGAAATATATAATATGTGATTGGCCCATCGGTGGTCAGACGGTGATATGCACAGAAAAAGTGACAGAAGGGTAGAATCTTATTTTTATGTTTTCTTTCTCACCAATCAATGGTACTGCCATATGCCCTCTAGTCCCCAGAAATGCACCTTCTGAATTTAGATTCTGGTTATGCTTTTGTTTCCTAAATAAGGAGGTCAGGAGATAAAGAGCAGTGGAGGTAGGGAGTAAGAGAGGAGAGGATGGATTAAGCTGAGGGACTAGTGTGTGCAAAGGCACTGGGGTGGGAAGGTACAAGACAGGCTTAAGGAATCCTTGACACATCAGTTTGACTGGAATAAAAATTTTGTTTAAGGGAATCCTGAGAAAAAAATGTTTGAAAGAGAGATTGGGACCAATTGTAGAGGTCCTTTGGTATCAAGCCAAAGAATTTGGGTTGGGTTTTCTTTAGCAAGAAATGAGAAACATAGCTTTCAAGCAAGGAGGTAATGGACCAGAAATTGTGCTTTATGAACTTGACAGTGAATTCAACCTTGTTCTAGGTTTTGGGAGAGACACAAAGTTTGAATACATGGTCATACCTCTCGAGGAGATAAAAATTTTGGTTGGGAGAGACGAGGCATATTATATACAGCACCATCTAGAGAGTGATTACAAGTTCACATTAACACGTGTGTCCTGGTCTTGTCTTGTACTAGCAGTTGGTCCCAAGGCTCTAAGTCACTTTGCCTTCTTGAGCTTCCGTTTCCAGTTCTTTGAAATGGGCATTATTCTCCCTACCTCATGCAATCATTGTAGGCAGTCAATGGGATAAGTCATGTGAAAGCAGTTGGTTGTGCTTTCCAAATTACAGATTCAGGGAAAATGGAGCTTCTGTGTTAGAAAGAAAGTTTCTCATCCTTGATGCATTATTTTCTTGGCATAGGATTCAGGAGACCTAGTGACTTGAAAGACAGAAATTGGAGGCCCCTCAGCTCTTCAAGGGCAAAGCCCAATGTGAACCATCTGGGAAGAAAGCCTCATCTGGAATATCCAAACCTATTGGTCTTCAGAGTGTCATCTCTCTTTATTCTCTGATGTACCAGAAGGGAAGCAACTCCTGAGATGGAAAAATAAAAACAGAAACATTTGCCCAGCTCACTGTTGGCATAGTCGGTGTAACTTCCTATATGTTAATGACAGTGTTATGCCTCAGAGGGTCCCCCCGAGAAGTTTTGTGAACACCCTCAGGACCCAAGGTCATCACAACCAATTACATGTGCAGGCATTTTATTTATTTTATTTTAGGACAACTTTATTTTAGGCACCATACTCGGGCCTGGGGAGATGAAGTGGAAGGGTCCAAAATTGAGTAATCGTGTCTGTACCTTAAAGAAATTTACAACCCAATGGAAGAAGAAGGTGGAAATATGACTGTAAACAAGTAATCTTAATGCAAGGCAGAATGTTAAGAAAAGAGCTGAAATTCTACAAATTTTATTTTATTTATGCGATGTGTGCTAAGTATAATTTCAGAACCTGAACCAGAAGACAGAAATGATAGCTATATTCACTTGGATTGAGAGAGTCAGGGTGAATAACAAATTATTGTTGATATTTCTAAGGACATATGTTAGGTTGATGGGCACAGTTGAATAAACTATCTTATTTTATTTATTTATTTCTTAAAGATTTGTTTATTTATCTTAGAGATAGAGAGCACAAGGGGAGAGGGAGAGAGACTCTCAAGCAGACTCCGTGTTAATCACAAGCCCAATGCAGGACTCGATCTCATGACCCTGAGATCATGACCTGAGCTGAAACGAAGAGTTCGACGTTTAACCCACTGAGACACCCAGGCACCCCTGAACAAACTATTTTAAGTTGAGACAGTCCCATAGATTTATTATATATAAAATGGAGACACATAAGGCAGATGTTGTAAAGTTTATTCCACAAAAATTTTCTCTTGGGAGAGCATTGCATTCATTTGGAAGAAATACCTTGATATCTTGTTTAGGGTAGAAAGTGAGACTCTAGGGGGATGTTCAAGTAACAAATGTGAAGTCCCTGGGTGGACACCGAAGAGGAGAGAGAATAGAGAGCTAACTGGGTGTGGTGCATGGTATAAGGCAAAGAGAGAGACCTCCCCATAGGGAGCGGAAGTGTGAGGAAGAGGGACCCTGGAGAAGCAGGGATGAATACCAACTGAGGGTGAACACTCGTCCTTGTCAGAATCCCCCAGGAAATTCTGCAGGAATGGATGAAATGGAAACTAGTCAAGATGTGCCCAGAGTGATGTAGGGGGAGGACCTAAGCCCTGGGAGTGTAATTGGTTCAGAAAGACATCGTGCGAGGGTTTGATCCGTTTGGATCTTAACAGCTGGAGTGAGCCTGTCTGCCATCTGAGCTACAGGTATAAACCTGCACGGTGTGAACGTTAGAAAAAGGAAGAAACTAAGTCCAACCGAGAAGTAGGATTCCCTCTTCAGAGGGGCAGAAACAGACACCAGTGGTTCAAATTCACCCTGTAGAGCCCTCACTTGGGGCAGGACGTAGTGGGCTCACCATTCCCACAATTCATGAGTTCTTTCTGAAAATCTTTGCCTTTGAATGTCCCAGGAGCAGCGTGCTTACTGAAGCCCATGACTGTTAAAAGCACACGTGCCTTTAAATGCAGTCACGTTAGTTCTTAGAATTTAGTTTAAGGAAATAAGCAAGAATGCTCAAAAACTCAGCCATATGGCTGTTCATCACTGCACTGTTTGTAAAAAGAAAAAAATTTAGATATAATTTGGATGACCAACAATGGGGAATGGCTAAATAAATTATGACACATGCAAAAAATGAAATATAGTGTGGCCATTGGAAACTATAATACAGGGCTGTATTTATTGACATGGGGTAGGGCCTACAATATAATATTACAGAAAAAATAACCAAAAAACTGCAAGTATGGTCACATTTGTATAAAAAATGTAGTGTATATACATTATCCTACATAGAGAAAGGCTGAGAAGGATATACATCACCAAGTAAACAGCGATCACTTCAGGCTGGCGGGGTTGGGGTAGTTTTTCACTTGATGCTTTGTCATTTTCTGCATCACCTACCTGGTTTTCACAATGTATGTATGTATGTAAAATCATATAAATTCGTAAAGTGATTTCCACTTCAGGACCCCAAAAATCAAAATAAAAGGTTATCTATCACACAATACATGTCATATAATATATTATTGATATATGATATATAAAAATATATAATTTTTGTTAGATATTTAAACGTATGGATTTGTATACATAGAAAGAGGTCTAGATTAAAGCTCACAAGGAATTAGGAGTTGTTACCTTGGAGTGGGTGGGATCATGGATTGTTTACAATTTATTAATTTGGGCTTAACTCTATTTTGAAAATGTTTGACAATGGAAGTGTTGTTTATACAATGAGGCAGGGGAGACACCTGACAGTGGAGTGATTCTTCTCCATGGTTCCTGGGGATGAGTCAGTCCTTTCTCAGAACCCCTACCTCTGAGACCCTCAGAGGCAAAGGCATGATATTGAAAAGTTGCCACATCCAGATTCAACCATGAGAAGGGAAGGGGCCTAAAATGAACACTTTGAGGTCGAGGGCCTGGGTGTGAATGCTGCCTCTGCTGTTTTTCTAGGTCTCGGACTTAGGGCAGGTGATTTAACCTCCCTGTGCCTCAGTTTTCTCATCTGTAAAATGGGCATGATAATAGTGGCCACCGCAGAGCTCTGAGAGTCTCGGGGAAGATTTAACCAGCTCTGGTCTGTGTTCTCCCATTTCAAGAAGGAGGCTGCAAGAGCTCAGGGGGATTAAGCTACTTGTCCACGGTCACATAGCCACAGATAGCAGAGCTGGGCTTCCAAATGACTCCAGGCTCGGTGCCCCCCACCCCCTCCACAAAGATGAGGAGTCCACCAGTCATTTTCGGCCATATTCTTATTATGAAACCCAGATTCTACTGAGGCGAGCAGAAAATAGTGGCAAAGCCTCTCTTGGTAGCATTCAGCTCACAGTGTATATTTGGTCTCCCGTGCGTCATGCCCTTCCAGCCCCGTCTCCTCTCATTTTCTCTGTTTGGTTACCTTCAGGAGGCTGAACGAGGTCTCATAAATTGGTGTGGATATGGCTGAAAAAAAAGGAAGAGAAAAAAAAAAAAACCAACAAAACAGCAACCACCACATGAGACGTTGTTTGGGAGGAGATGCATGTGATGAAAAGTCTGGTCCAGGTGTGGAGCAGCAACTGCGGGGAGAAGTAGCCAGGCTGGCAACACCCTGAGGAGCCCGTCACTCAGCCTGGCCGGCAGCGCAGAGATAGAGCCAAAGCATCTGGAGCCATGTGGACCCAGCACCTTTCTCTCCAGCCCTCCCTGGACACTGGGCCATCCCTCGCTCACCCCTGGGGTGGCATCTCCCTGGATGAGAGACGGAGCTTGAGGGAGGACAACAGATGGATTTTATTTTCACTCTAATTTTCTGGACTGAACTCTAGAAATGAAGGAGAACTGGCTCAAGTGGACCCAGAAACAGTGGATGGACTTGAACCCACACAGTGCTGGTGTGTTGGCATTTGAATCTTAACCCCAGGTCATGTCATTCCCCCTTTAAAGGGCGAAGATCTCCGGGGTGGCAGGAGAAGGGGGAGAACACAGCCGCCCCGCCCCCGCGCCCGGGCCAGACTAACGCAGACCCCACCTCCCAGTCCTTGGGCCCTTTGCCAGGCATGGTTAAGAGCCTGGAGTCTGGAAAGATATCAGGGTTGGAATCCTTGATCCCCCACTTAACAACTAAATCTAAGCCTCAGAGTCTCCATCTGTAAAAGGAAGGCGATAATAGCACCTACTCACCCAGTTGCAGCCGCTCAGGAATGGGTTCATGCATGCAGAGCTACTTCATGGTCCTAGACGCTCAAAAATAATCACAGTTCCCATTATTCACTTAACTTCTCTGCGGCTCATTTTCCTTATCTCTGAAATGGCGCTCATAACGTCTGCCCCCTCGGAGTTGTCCTAAGGCTTGGATGAGACAATAAGGAACGTGCAGATGCTTTGTAAACACAAAATTTCTCTTTGTTGACCAGGCTTATCTCCAGAAATCTCTCACGCCTGTGGGTGGTGTGAAAGCCCCTGGCACACAGTAGGTATTTAATTAAAAGGGCAACAGCAAGTTCTTGGCTGTGTCTGTTTGGGCCAGATAAACGGCAGGGCTCTGAATAGCTTTCTATAAACAGGCAAACTGGTTATTTCATGCAGAACAAATAAGCAAATGTCTCCGATTGTTTCTTCAGCAACAGCATTGAGGGCCTGAAATTATCCGGAGAATCACCCTGAGTCTCTGTTGCCCTTGGTTTGTGTTGACTGAGATGAAAGCCCCATCTACCTGGCGCAGGAAGAAAGGGCCGTCCCAGGGGCAGGGCTCCGGGCAGCTTGTGAGGGAAGCCAGGGCCGTCATGCACACCCCAGATACAGCTGGTGGCCAATCAGGAACTTGAAAGAGGCTTGTGTGGGCTGTTGGGGACATCGTCTGGTGCCATTGCTCTTTCAAAGGGACTCAGAGAGAGTGCCCCCTGGGGTGCCGACCTTCCGGGGGAGGGCGAAAAGTCACTTCTGGCCAGACCTGTGCCTGACCAGCAATACTTGCGCACCAAGGGCGCAGGTGTGGGGATGGAATGGGGTGCCGGAGTACCTCTGCCTCAGGTAACAAACATTATCTCCTGTCATTCCTCGCACTAAGCAGGGCTCTGGGCATAATAAAAACAGTGATAACAAACTAATTTTTATTGTTTGCCAGGCTCTGCGCTGAGCACTTTACAAACAGTAGTCCACTTAGTCTCCACAATCACCCCAAACGATGGTATGGCTGAGTGAGCTCTATGTTAAAGATGAGGAAACAAGCCCAGATGGACATCCTTCTCCTGCCCCAGTGCTTAGGTTCCAACCTCTGTGATCAAGGTGACTTTTCTGAGCACGGCATTCAAGGCCCTGCATACTCTCCCAGCCCTATTTGTATTTTCACAAAGGCTGTGTCTGCCCATCACTTGGCCGTTCCCACAAGCGCCCGGCTGGCTCTCTCCCATTTTGTGAGTTAGCTTTCCTTGTCTGGAATGCTCCCCGTGCTCCCCTACCACACCCATGGGTTCCAATTTGCCTTCAGGATTTTAGCCTGTGAGGGCACCTCTTAGAGGCCAGGCACTTCTACAAAACACCGCTGTGATTAGGCATTAATCATACTGATTTCAAGGCACAGGAGACTGAGGCTGATAATGGTACAGCAACTAACAACAAGGTCACAAAAGCTGGATCTGGAGCCCCATGTCTTCTCTACACCATGGTGTTTCTCCTGAGCTCAGGATCTCCTTCTCTGAGAAGCTGTCCTTGACCTCTCCTGTTGGATTAGGCACTGGAATGTGCCAGAGCCTGCCCTTATGGGCCTGCAAGAGCCAATTATTAAATTGTTGGGAATTTTGCAAGCCGGTTGTTAAACACAGCAATTATTAAGGATTAAATTATAAACACTTATAATTAAATAAATTATATTAAAAACAAAGGTCATAAATAGTCAAAACTCATCACTTCCTAATTATTTTATTACATTTTACTATTATCTCTGCTCTTAAGATTATTTACACCCGTCGCATCTGTGTGGTGGAAATTCTACATAATGGTGCGCTACTGTGCATCTCTCAGTGATGTCATATTGGCAGCTTGGAAAGCAGCACGGTTGGAGCATTTACACCACGGAAATTGGCAAACACTACCAATCGGGGCTTAGTTTCTTGTTGTGTTGATTGTCTAGACTTAAGGAAGTGATGGAGAAACTACCGATAATGCAGCTTAAAATTACAAGCCTGTCATGGCTGTAGCCTTACATTGTGAATAGCACCCCGCCCCCCTTCGAAGAAACATCCCTCCAGTATTTGAAAATTAGCAACCAATTTAGCAAAGAAAGTGCTTGCATCATGGACAAACAAGTAGGGTTCCAACATGATCCTTACTGTTTTGTTTTCATCCTAACTGTTAATGTCAATGAAAATAGGACTGCGCTCCAGAAATCAGTTGTTAAACTGAGCAGTCTTCCACTGATGGGGTGCCCCCCTCGGGGCCATCAGAGCCAGCTGTCTTTCCCTCCACAGTAGCCCTGCCCCAGAGCTCTGACACTTTCCACCCATGTCCACATCCTCCTTGCTCCTCTTGAGAGCAGGCGTTGAGTCTTTTTCTTTTCCTCGGTTCTTGGGATAGGAACTCCCTAACTGTTGAATAAATGAATGAGTGCATGTGTGACTGAATGAAACAAGAATGAGCCCTATCCCCCCAACCGATCCCCCTCAGGAAAAAACGCTTTTAAGGTATTCATGAACACATATTGTATTCCTCTAACTTACCATGCATTACTGAGTACCTACTATGTACCAGCTGTATTAATACTAACTCCCATTGTGATGAAGACCACCAAAATGGAAAGGATAAAAAATTTCCAAATTCAGCGGCACCTGGGTGGCTCAGTCGTTAAGCATCTCCCTTCGGCTCAGGTCATGATCCCAGGGTCCTGGGTTGGAGTCCCGCAAGGGGTTCTTTGCTCAGTGGGGAGCCTGCTTCTCCCTCTCCCACTCCCCCTGCTTGTGTTCCCTCTCTTGCTGTGTCTCTTTCTGTCAAATAAATAAATAAAATCTTTAAATTTTTTTTTTCCTAATTGAGGGACTTGTCTGTCTCATGTTCAAAACAGCGTCCAAATTCAATTATTACTTAAAAGAAAGCAAAGTCATCAACTCCATCATCTTCCCTCACCTGCAAGGACCCCAGATGAGTCTCAGGGACATTGTCATTCCATGGCTGAGGAACTAGAGGTAAAGAAGACCCCCGGTTGTGTTCTGATTCCCCTACAAATGTCTCTGAAAGCAGCCGTCCCTGATGACACAGGGGAGGTGATTTTCCAATGACAGAGGAAAGAGATGGCTGCTGTTGTCCGAGCCATCATGTCTAGGAGTGTCACCTTATGTCTGCTGAGGCCGAAAGAAGAAAGAACAGCTCAACATAACTTACAACACGAGACCCAGGGGATCAGAAGGCCCCACTAAAGGCCCCGGGTGACAGAGGCCTGCGGTGAACACTCCCTTCTCTCTTCCCCTTACTGCTTTCCTGTGACTCAAACTTCAAGACCATCTCAGCAGATAAACAGTGTAACCTGTTATCTCATTATAGTACTAATACAAAGATAGGTGGTCTTAAATTTACTAAGCTAATAATTAGTCACCAAATGAATACGAGAAAAGAAGTCATTAGCACGACAGTTGCCTGTGGAAAGTGTTTGCGTTCTTATTTGGGAGGGTGGGCACTTTCCCCTGGCTAAGTGGGCGTGATTCATCGCAGTAGCCTTGAGACCTCCCCCAACATAGGTCTTTTTTTCCTTGAAAAGAAGAGACAAGGAGGGGGGCAAGAATCAGTTGCTTCAACTTGGAAGTCAGCGCTCAAGGAGGCATTAGAAAAGTCTTTCTTGTGGCTCAGAGCCCTGATTACCACAATTAAAGTCCAAGGTGTGGTGCTATTTGCTCAGCATGCTCTGACACATGAAAGCAAATGATTCAGGCAAGGAAAATAATTATACATTAATTTGTGTTTGGCAACTGTGTTTTATTCCTTTGGCCCACAAAGCAAAGATAAAAGGTGACATTGTTGAAAGTGTTTTATCTGCTTTCAATGGGGTTGCCATGGGCTCCATTTGGAGACAGGCCTCTTTGGTCGGGCATTTTCCTGGCATTCTGGGGCAGCCTTTTGTGCTGTGTTGCTGCGGCAGGCCAGGAGGAGCAGAGGAAAGGTACAATAGTTGTTGCTTACTGTCCTGACCCCTTTGTTTGCAGGGTTCCCGTAGATTTGGCCAAGTGGAAAGAAAAGGCACCCTCTGCAGGGAGAGAGCTCCAGTCCCCATCCTGGGGGGATGTCATCCCGTATCATGGTATTGCATTTGGCCAGGGAATAAAGAGGCAGACCAGTCAGGACCACCAACCCAGCCAGCTGCGGAGGTAGGCAGGGGTGGGGTGGGGGGGTGGGGAGGGAGTGTGCTTATGAGTAAACTACACAGGCGGGCGGCTGGGCCAGGAAGAAATGCAGGGCCCATGTGGCCAAATAGTCCAGACGTTTACAAGGGAAGTAAGAAAATCTGAATTTTTAAAAATGAAATCTCTCAATGTTTGAATGTTGGCTTAATTTAAAGTAAAATAATGTCTTTAGGCTGCAGCTGGCCTCCAGTTTGAGGCTCTGATATGCAGCAGGGAGGTGAAACATTGGCATCTGGAGTCAGAAAGATCTAGGTTCTGAGTTCAGTTCCGTCCCTTACCAGCTGGGCGACTGTGGACAATTACTTAACCTCTCTGGGCCTTGATTTCCTGTTTGTAAAAAAGATTAACAATTCTACCCCTTCCAAGAGCTGGGCATGAGATGGGAAGATGCAAGCAAGGAACAAATTCTTTGTACAGCCCCTGGCCGACACTGAGCACTAAATAAATGTCAGTGATTATAACTATTTATAATTGAACCATAGGAGGGTGATTAAATGTCATTGTCCCTGGCTGGCTTGAGGTTGAATTGGATGTCTGGAATGTAGTAGCTACTCAACAGATAGTCAGATAATTGCTGAATGAAGGAATGAAGGAATGAATGGAGATGCCAGCTACAGGCCAGAATGAGCAACTCATGCACCATCTTCTCTTCTTGGCAATGCCCCTGGTATGTTTGTGCCAAAAGCTTAGCCTCCTTGGATTTCAACTTTTTCATTATAAAATGGACTGGATGTCCCTCTCTAGCCAGCTCCAAGGGATGCTTTCCTCCTTATTGACAGGATCTTCCGAGGACTCTCAGCAAAGTTTAGGGCTGACCAGCAAGGACTTGACAACCTGACTCTGGGAGGGGAGGCGGTCTTACCATTGGGAGGACTGGTCCTTCCATAGCTCTGCCCCACATCACTGTCTACACTTCCCTCTTCTGCTCTTTGTGCCAACAGGGTGAAGTGGAAGACAGGCTCC